TGAACGTGATTGGATGGACGGGAACAAGCTCTCCACCCAATCAGAGATCAGTGCTGCCAAGCAGCGCTCTCGGTCTCCACCAATCAACAGGCAGGAGGGAAATTCGGACTCTGAACACAGAGCGCGGCTCTGCTGCCGAGGCCGAGTGAGAAAATATGTGTTTTTCAGTTTCAACCGTATTACCACCCCCAGTGTGCAGCCCCACCTGGATGATGCGATGGCAGCCATAGTGTGCCAGAACGCTCCCCACACATCAGCTCTCAGTGAGGAGGAGAGCAGAGTAATGAAGCCAGTTCATAGATGGGGATTATTAGGAGGCCATGATTGGTAAGAGCCAATGGGAAATTTGACCAGGACGCTGGGGTTACACCCCTACTCTTTTTCGAGTAACACCTGGGATTTTTAATGACCACAGGTGACCGCCCCCTGCTGGCCCCACTAACACCTCTTCCAGCAGCAACCTTAGTTTTTCCCAGGAGTCTCCCATCCAGGTACTGACCAGGCTTACACCTGCTGAGCTTCAGTGGGTTTGCACAAATGAGCGTGGCAAAAGCAGAGTGTTGGTGATATTGTATGGTAACCTCATCAGCATTTAGGAGAATGGATCTTTCCAAATTCTTCTCAGGGTTTGCACTCCCTCAATATCCCCTTTATTCAGCTGGTAAAGTCATTTTACCGTTCTGCAGGTAATGTATGTCTATTATTTCATTAAGTGCTCAGGTGGAAGAGAAATCTGCAGGACAATGTGGATACCCAGCACAGGTCTGGGAACCCAGGGTCTAGGTCAATCGTTAGCATTGCTCAAAGATGCATTTCAGTATTGCCCTTCAGCCACAAGGGGGCACTAACTCACTGAAGTACCCTTATTATCGCCAATGCTGCTCTCCTTTTCACCTGAAAGAGTGAGGAGACACTCTTTTTTACTTTGATACTATTAGGGGCTGCCGTTTCCACGGTCTGCACGCACAGAATTTGTGACTGTGACAAAGTTTACCTTCAATATTCAATCAGTTGTATCAGAAATGGCATTGAAAGGCATCTGAGAAATGAAGAACAATCTTACCCTGCTGCACCTAGACAAAGCATTTTCATCGCTTAGAAGCATGCCAGTTTTATACTGCTGATAAAGGAGGGTGACTTCCATTTACAAGAGACTCTGTGTGAAATGTAACGTGGGCTTGTGTAGCAAGGAACAGTATGAGGCTTTCAGGGAGAATTTATTAGTACTCATTAATTAAATTGACACCATAGACAAGGCGAAGCTCAGATTTCCAGTTTTATTGCTGTTTGTGTCTTTAAGTCAGAACACTGTGCACCTCATTTCTCCCCTTTCTCTGTCCTTCCTTCTCCTCTCTCTCTTTGCCCCCTCTAGCTTCTTCTGTCTTGTCTAGTTCTTCTCCATTGTCTCTTTGATCCAGCTCAGATAGTTGCCCACTTTAGTGTATACTCCATAAGTCCCCTTCTCCCCACACTTAATCCCCCACGAAACTATACCAGCGGCGTAAAATGCGCCCCCTGATCCCCCTTTCTGCAGGGTGAACGCCCCTCCACTGTCCCCCTGGCATGTGTCCTTTCCACCTTCGGGCAATCCAGCACAGAACATGTTTTCAGTAAGCGTGGGGATGTCTCTCTGGCGCCCCCTCTGGCTTTCGATGGAACTTCTGCACTTCTCTTGCTCAACGACAGGCAGGCGGATGAACTTGAGCCTGTTGGAGATGGTGTCCTCCTCCGTCACCCCCCAGCCTGAGACGTAACTGAGGGAGAAAGAGGTTTTAGGTGGGAGCCTGGCCAGTAGCTGGATGGGTCACCTCCTGGGAAAGCTAAGGTTGCTGCTGGAAGAGGAGTTAGTTGGGAATGGTAGAGGATGCTCACCCTGTGGTGTGTGTGGGTCTTAATGCCCCAGTATAGTGACAGTCAATACAGATAGCTGTGCAGTCCAGATGTGTCTATCGGCACATCACTCATGCTTTTTTCACACCGTTCACTGCCCGTTAGTGATCAATAACAGTCTTCCCTTCAAATTTGTACCTCAGGCTGTGGAACATGAACAAACATGTAGCTTGAAAGTAATATTTACATATTTTACCCTACTGAATGTACTTTTTGAGATTTGCGTCCCTTTTGAAATGTTGAGTTAAAAAGGCATTGGGGTCAGGAAGGACTTTGCTTGCACGAGGAAGAAAAACATGTTGTTCTGCAGAGCAGCTGAGGAGCGCTTTCACAGGAATCGCTTGACGTGACTCTTTTCCGGACAGAAGAATTGGCATATTCTGTTTCAATATCACCTGACATTACAGCCAGTTTCCAAAAAGACCCACAGAGGAGGAAAAAATCCTATAATTCAATATCCTGAAAAAGCTTTTAACATTACAAAGAGCCAAGGAGAAATTAGGGCCAAGACTATTGGTTAATACAGTACTGAAACCATGGCTGACCAATCACACTGCATTCACTGTGTAGAAAGAGACAGATGGGGAAGTAAAAATTTGTCTCACCCCACACTTCCAGGGCTGTAAGGGGTGCCCTCTGGTGGCAGACACAGCGGCATGATGTGTCTGTTGACAGTGACAGGCTCCTTCAGCTTGATGAGTGCCAAGTCATTATCGAAGGAAGTCGAGGACTGAGAAAAGCCAGGATGAGGAAACACTGCCTCCACAGAAAGCTTGTTTTTCAGGATATTCTCCACATCGTTGTCTCCTACATATACCTAGGAGAACATAAGAAAAACATGAGAAAGTTTGCAACTAAGAAGAGCCCATTCAGATCCTATAGCCTCTGTTACATGCAGTAGTTGATAAGGATCACATCCTTATATATTATATGTATATTTCTATGTATATTTCATATACATACCTGTATATGAATGTATGAATGAATGTATATATATGAATATATAGTTCATGTGGGTAGCTGCGTCAGCATGCGTAGGCTGAAAAAGAACAAGTAATAGGTTTATTCCATGCTGAAAAGAAGCTCACACCTGAAGAAGGCTCCACGGCCGAAACTTCATTTCAGCATGAAATAAACCTATTACTTGTTCCTTATATGAATATATGTGTATATACATATGTCTATTTATATACATGTATTATGTATATTTCTTATACATTGATTGTATACATTTTATACATGCTGTACATAAGAAATACAATGTATTTCTACCACATGTATATTTTTGGTATATTTCCCTACACAACCACAGGAAATAGCATCACCCACACACCCAGGAGAAATGCATCTTTCAGCATGTCCAGAGCTGTTTGACCTTTGGCACTTTGAGAGTCACTCCTTCTGTCACGTACTGCCTTTCTTGCAGTCACTCTATGTATGTGGTGTTCATATAGGATATATCTTTAATCACCATAAATGGAAGTACGTTATTGCAGTACATTACAAAATCACAGCTTTCAGTGCCATGTCCCAAACTTCCAATGCCGTCTATGCAGATTATATTAGATGTATGTCGTTAAGCCATGTATGACATATGCTGTACAACCTATCTTTTACACATCAGAATAAAACATAATATATTGATTTGCAACATCTCGCAGCTCAGAGGTGAATGCAGAAGAAAACCCAACAGGAGAGAGACAGCACTGGGGAAAATGGAGGACAAATAGGGAGAAGGAGACAGAGATCGTCGCATATTTGAATACAGACGGTGCATTCGTACCTCCAGGGATTCTACGATTGTCTCGAGAGACTGTAAGGAATGCTTTTTGGAATGCACGTTGTGAGCAGCCGTCAGGATCCAGCGATCGGCAATCAGAGCTGCTCCCGCCCTCCCGTAGAAGGTGTTCAGGAACACCTGCCAGGGAAATGCCCCCTCCTCGGCGTCTTGCCCCCCCAGAATGCGCTGAGTCAGGGAGGGAGAGGCTGAGGGCTTGCCACACACTGGGGCAGAAAGAGTAAAGGGGGTGGGGGGGGGCAAATGGAAAAAGAAGAGGTGGAAGTACAGATCACAAGCACTGACAGAACCACTGGACTGCGGTTGTAGCGGAGCAAGTGTGGGCACGGTGACATCATCGCCCTCCCTGGGCTGAGGGAGGTCTCCTTAAGCTCACTCGGTTGGTTCCCTGTTGCGTTTTGCCAGAGACCCGGGTTCATGCCCCAGGTGTTGGGGGGCGAACCGGCGGGGTGGAGGGGTGAGGGCACGAGCCCGCGCCAACCACGACGGTCACACGGTGTTGAGAGAGACACTGACTGAGCACTACAGGGCATTCACTCTGGAAACGATGGTTACAAAGAAGAAGCAACTCTTCTGCCCATCTGACCTGTTTAGCCATTAGAAGTTAATTGATCTGAGGAGCTCATCTGGCCATTTCTTTTCGAAAGAAGCCAGGGCATTGGCTTCCACAATGCTGCTGGGTATCCCATTCCATACTCCCACCGCCATTTGTGTAAAGAAAAGCCCCCTGCTCCTGCATTTCCACTCTCTGGCCACCTCTGTCCCCTGGTTCAGTTTTGACTGTTGATTCTCAAAAAGGCCACAGGACTTTGAGTACTTGGTTTTCTGCCTGCTTGCAAAACTAGGAATTATCTGCATTTTACATAATCTACCAGGTGTTTGCTCAGTCTTGAATTTTGTCTAGTTCCTTAGCTACAGTACTTCTATGGTGTTTGCTTATCCCATTTTAATTACAGCAGAATCTAGATCACTGTAAATTAGGAAGATCACAGGTGATATTCTGCTAATTACATCACCCCGTTTTGAACATTCACTCCTTATCTGTGCTCTCTGTTTTTCTCACTCCCAACACATACATTTCTTTGAGTCTACCATTTCTGCATTAATAATTAAAGTTTTATGAAACCTTTCTCACAAAACCTAAATGATCCATATTGTATGCTCTGTGTGTTCCCATTTCTGTTGTTGCTGGTTCCACTGTTGTAACTTTTGATATGAGAGACAATAAAAAAAACACAGGAAAGCAAAGAGCCTAGTCAGGTCAAAGAGATGACCGTGATATCATCGGTTAAATAGTCGCTTACAGGTTTACCTGGAAAACAGGTTGGGATGATGTAGTTGCTGTTGGAATCTGTCCATTTCCTGTCAGCAGCGCAGGTGTAGTTCACTGAAAATAAACAAGCAGACAGATAACCAGATACAGAGCTGACAAATAGACACACTCAATCTATTTTAATATAATGTGCAGTACTTATAAAATATAATAATAATCCTTACACTCATATAACACTTTTCTGGACACTCCACTCATAGCCCTTTACAGGTCATGGGAAATCCCACTACTACCACCAGTGTGCAGCCCCACCTGGATGATGCTCCAGTCCTCTCCCCACACACCAGCTCTCAGTGGGGAGGAGAGCAGAGTGATGAAGCCAGTTCAGAGGTGGGGATTATTAGGAGGCCATGACTGGGAAAGGCCAGGGGGAAATTTAGCCAGGACACCATAGTTAACACCCTTTTTCTTTTCAGGAAATTCCCTAGGATTTACAATGACCACAAGGATCAGGACCTCAGTTTTACATCTCATCTGAAGGTCAGTGCATTTATTTTTACACTATAGTGTCCCACCACTGGCCAGACTTTCATCTGCTTAGCTTCAGTGGGTTGCCAGTTTTGACTTGCATGGTGATATAGCTGTGGGCTAATAATATAATATACACTAGCACATAGTGTACTGTGCTAATATAATACACACTGATACGAAACACACACAATGATAAAGAGGTGGTGTCATTTTAGTTATTTTTAGTTAGGATCTTTTACAGATCTTCCTCCGATTCATGTTTTATTTTATTTCTAATCTGTTAATCCAGAGGTGTGACACTACCATTTTCTAGATCATTTTCTAAAAAAGTTAGCTCAGGTACCGTATAAATCTGTTCTGTGCAAACTGACTAAGGTTATAGCATAATATTGTTTTGTTTGTTTATAAAGCAAGACACACTGTCCAATCTGGACATCTTTCTGTTATATGATGATTCATGTTCTTAATTTAAGGGGGTATGAATGCATCTGCAGGACACTGTGTGTGCAGCAGACATACAGGTTACTTGTGAGCGAAAGTGGTGAACACACACGTGCTAACACAAACACACAGCCGGTCAGGCTCACCGACAGCCCCTCTCTCCAGGACGTAGTAAGGCTCGTTGCAGTGATAGTGGATGACAGACTGGTACTGATTGAGAGAGCCAGAGAGAAACTGCACTCCTCCGTTTAGCAGGTTGGAAGGTGTCCCACAGTCTATTACTACACAGAGGGAAATACACAGGAGATCTCAGCAGTGCAATGAGGGAAAGACAGAGAACGCAGGTCTGGTTCAGAGGTGTGGGAAGAGGAGAAAAGGAAAGGACAGCTGACTCACTGCGACACTCAGGCAGGGGGAGGTGCCACTGTCCATCGCTCTTACACATGGAGAAATATCCTCCGATCTCCTTCTCTCCCTGAGAAAGAACAGGAGTTAATACAGGCAGGTCATCACCACTGATAAAAGACATAAACACTGCATAGAGTGCACTACTCTAGTTCATTAGCACTGCATGGAGTGCACTACTCTACTGTAGTTCATTAGCACTACATTAGCACTACTCTAGTCCAATGCATTGATTCACTATTAAAACACATTAACACTGCATTGTGAGTGAGGTTTTAAAACACATTAACATTGGATTACACTAAAAAAATGCTTTAACACTGCATGCTGACACATCAAATTGTTCTGCTTCAATGGATGACTGGGAAGAGACTCAGGAGGCTCTTACTACAGGGAATATGACTTTCTGAATCTACTTTTACACAGGTGCTGCACTAAAAGAGATGGAGAAAAAAAGAGATTTAATATAGGCCAGTAACTGTCTTGAAACTGAAGTATTTTCAACTCTGACCAATTGACCCACAGCACATTAAAGAGTAGCAGACTAAATGACACCACAGTAAATTAAGAGTACTTGAATCCTGAGAGACGCACAAGTGAAGCACAGACTCACCATCATCAGCTTGTAGCCGGTGTCACACTTGACTCGGATGTAATCTCTGAACTGATACTTTAAGAATTGTGGGGTCACTCTGCCATGAGAGATACTTCTGGGAGATGGGCACTGAACCCCTAGGAATTTGAGAAAAATTGGGTTGGGGTAATTACAGTGTTTATTTTATGCGTGATGAGTGTATAAATGCATAATACTAATATATCACGTTGGTATTATAATGTTATTACAGTATACTCAATAATTCTGTACTTCATCATTTTATGAAAGGTTTAGGGGTGCCAAAAACACCTCTTATCTGCTATGTACCATCCTAATCGTGTGATGGGTTTGAGTTTCTTGTGGTCACAACTGTTAGGTCCCTCATTCTGATGTTATTCTTCACTAAGTATTTAGGGGGTTCAAGTAAATATAGAACTGTGGGGCTCCACTGTCATTAAAGTCGGTGTTTCCGTTACCATTTGGGAATCTTCCCAGGGTGCAGGAGTCTGCCGGTGACCAGCCTAGCCTGGCAGAGTGATGGCCTTGCTGTGTGCTCTGCTCTCCATGCCCGCGACAGGACAGTGTGTGAGTTTCTGTTTCAGCGTGTCAGAGCGAGCTGCACTTCACTCACGCTCTGTGGTGTACTCCAGCCTCCAGCCCCGGCTGTCTCCTCTCTGGTCGGTGTGATATTCCAGCCGCACCTCGTTAGAGGAGCTCACGATCGGCGCCGGAGCTTCGCTTCCGCACAGGAGAAGATCGGCATGACCCGGGATCGACACCTAGAGACACAGAGGGTGTGGAGAAAAACTGGGGGAGACTTCAAAATGACCAAGTTAATTTACTAAAGGATCATTTGACAGGAAATCTGCAGTTAAGGAATGGTGTGCATTGAGGCTTGACTTGTCATTGACATTGATGGGAATTTGGTGATGTTGGTGCAGGATGGGTGCAGCAGGGATTAGTGGGTGATTTGACAACTTAGTTTTCTTTCATCATCACCACCACAAGAGTTCATGTACCAATGGATCACTTTACAGGGGATCTGCAATGGTCTATGCAATTAAAAAAGGGTGGTTCCAGTCTAGACTGGGTTATTATTGTGACCAGTAATCATGTTCAGTGTTTTGAGAAGCAAAGAGAAGGTGACTGAGGTTTGACATTCAAATTGGCATTGATGGGAGGCTAGATTCCTTCACGCCTTGCAGTTGGGGCGGGAGGGATCAGTGGGTGATCTGATAGCTCGGTATGCTTTCTTCATCGCTACTACGAGAGCTGTGATGCTGAGCTAAACTGATCTGCGCTAGACATGTTCAAAAAGGGGGTTAATGAAATTTGAGTGACAGGTCATTCTGAAAGCATTCCAAAACATTCAAGAGGGAACTGGCTTGCTAATGGTTTCATCCATCGCTGTACCTTGAGCCAGTGATGAGGGCACTGGGACAGCTGGTGCTCAATGTCAAACAGCCCCAGGAAGTGGAGAGTGATGTGGAACCCGGGCTCCACTCTGATGGTGTAGCGGCAGGACAGGCCAGGGGGTGACAGGTTTGGGTACCCCGGAGAGGAGATCAGCCCCCGGGGCTCGGTGAACACCCCACCTCCACACTGCACTGTGAGAGGGAAAGGGAGAGGAACAGAAACACTCAGTGCTGGTGCATTCACGCAGTTCAGTTTACTGGCTAAAGTCTATAACAGAGCACAGTGTGGGGATCCATACAGTATTCACACAAACTGTCATCAAAATCCGAAACAATATTTTCAATATTATTTTTATACATAGAGATAGAGAAGAAAGTGAAATGAGATTTAATGGAGTGAATATACTGACCTACTAACCAGATACTGAAGGACAATATTTGTTACTTTTAAATGTTTCAATTTTTAAAGGATTTCACTTAAGGGTCTTTCTAGGCAGGAACACTCACAGTATTTTATTCTAGTGAACATAGTGAGGCAGGAAAAGCTTACGTACATTGGCAGGTCCTGTTGTTAGGCTGCAGCTCGTATCCATGGCGACAGGAGCAGAGGTATCCTCCCAGGATATTGTGACAATAGTGCTGACAGAGAGGCTCCTCCCCTTCCTGCACCGGTGACGCACACTCATCCACATCTGAGAGAGGGAGTGAACACAGCCACCATAACAGAGAGACTGACTGGCTGCAAGATTGCAAGAGGGCGCTCTACTTCTGTCCTGTTCCTAGTTCCCTGTGATTATTCATGTCTTTCTGGTGTGTCTTGTTGTGTAGCCTATTTACTTCCTGCTTCTGCTCTGCTCCTCGTTCAGCATTGACGTTCGGATGTCCTGAGACCCGCCTAGCACCAGGTCACTCCTGACCGTGGCCTGAGGGCACAGGTTTCTATACGGCATTCCCTGAACAGCTGAGCCCGGGCTAACCCCCGTCTCGCCGCTACGCATAGGGTCTTTATCGCTCTCCTGCCATTCCACTGTTCATTCCAGACATCCGTGACAATTCCCCTCTTACAGAGCAGCCTGGGGAATCTGCACGCACTGCAAACTCCACCTTTGCAGTAATCTCCAAGTTAAGAAGATTAGATGGCACAGTGGAACCATCCCTCTATTACTCCATAGCCACCCTCCTGGTCTGTCTGTGCTGGTCTTTCACTTTCAACTCTGTAACTGTGGAAAATCCTCACCTGGTTATTTTCTTTTGCCTGGTCTCCCTCTGACTTGTGGGCCTCCACAGAAAAGACTGAGGACCCTACTAGACCTAACGAGTCTTCACCAGACTTCACTCCACATAAAGACTGCATATGAAGTTTGGAGCAAGAACTTTTCAAGGAGCTTTTAGAACTCGCTGCCCAGCATAACTGTGGGGGGGCTTTTCAGACAACCTCTGACCCTTCCCTGAGTGATTTTGTAGGGATTTACAGTATAGGGATCCAGCATCCCCAGGTGCAGCCAATTCCCTAAATCCCTCATGGGAATGCACAGAATGAATTCCTGGGCCTCCCTCTGGTAGTTACACTCTGTTAGTACAGTCCTGGTTCATCCCCTCTACTACAACAACACAGGACTTTGGCACTACATAGGGAGTGATATGGAGACAGATCAAATGGCCAGTATAGGCGGTGTTTTCACCTATGCCGAAAAAAGCTGAGTCTCAGAGTGGCATGTGGACACAGCGAATCAAGACTGACCTATGGCCTGGTAAAAGGCTTTAAATCCGATATGCTGATGAGGCCCAGGAGAGGAGGAGTCTGACTGGAAGAGGAGGCGCAGACGGTTGCTAGGCGAGAGGATGGGACTGTTGCCGGGGTGATTCTCATCGGCAGAATTCTGACCACAAAACCTTCCCAGAACCTTCTTACCAGACATCACCTGCTCAGAAAGAGAGAAAAGTAAAGAGTAAAAGAGAATCAGGAGACACTCTTGACACAGACAGATTTATTTGGCACCTAGGGCATCAGTGCATCATCAGGGTTTTTTAGTTTTTACCGTGAGAGAGTCATAGTAGCAATCTTGCGAGGGCTCAATATCGAGGTATCGGAAGGTGAGTTGGAGGGCGAACCCCTGAGGTACAGCCAGGTCCCACACTTCATTGAGAGAGGCAGGGTAGGGATTTGGGTAACCAGGTAACTGCACTTCTCCATACAAGACAGGGGAAGACCCTGAGAGTGCCACTGCCAAACACAGGGACACACACAACAACCTAATACGACAACGAAAAGAAATATCATAACACTTTTCCAAAACAACACAAGAGCCACACTTTAACATTATTACTAAACCACGAATTATTCAAAATAATACAAGAATAATATCATATCTATCATAAAACAAGACAGGAAGAACATTGTAAAATAATCCAAGAACAAAACAAGAGCAATACTGTAACAATATTGGACAAAAGCACTCCAGTAACATTGTTATTAAAGTTACTTTACAACATTATTGTTGTTAAATGCGAACAAATGTTGTAACAATGCTTTAATAATGATTTGCTTTTCATATCGTTACAAGAATTTTAGTCACCATGATACAATAAGAATATTACCACCAATAATGATACTTAGATATGATATATTTTTTTAAAATGTTATAGAAGGTCCTTGCTCACAGGAAATTAAGGAAGTTATGTCACTTCAGCCTAGAGCAAAAGAGAAGATACAATCCAAGTACATAATATCCTAAGAAGTGGAGACAGTGGTAGCATAAGGGCCTGTTTCACACTCTGTAGTGATAAAAAGACACAGACTTACAGTATAACAGGAAAATAATGTGAATCATTTAATTATGGAGAATAAGAAACCCACCACTCTTTCAGCACCAAGAGTGTCTGGAACGGCCAGGTAGTGAAAAGGCCCAAGTTCATTTAAGAAATGGCTGGTTGCAAATATAGATTTACTTAGCTACTTTACTGCCAAATGAGGAAGATTTTCAAAATGGCCTCTTTTCATGTTGAACTTTTCTCTCATTCTCATCAGACACATCTCGAGCAAATCCTGCTTCTCAGAAATAATCCACCTGCTACGCAAAAACCAGGAACAAGAGGGAGGTGTTGCAAACGCCTCAGGCCTGCATCTGATACAGTCTGTGTTACATCCACCCTGCTGTGAAGCTGTAGTGGCACAGATCATGCCTCAACCCTGTGGTAGAGGACACAGGATATACAGAGCACCTTGCTGTAGTACATCTGGGATACTTCGGCAATCTAGCACTACTTCACCTTCCGAACCACCACCAGGTGTTTCCCAGCGGAGTCCTTCCTGCCTTTTCCTTGTTCCTTTTCCCTGTTGTTCTGCACTCTCTGAAATGATCTCAGATTCAGATTCAGATCTCAGAAACTCTCAGATTCTGCCTGGGGACCTCCTGTGTTGCTGTGGTTCCCAGAACCAGTCCAGTCTGGTCAGGGTGGCTGGGGATTCCTGCCTGTTCCAGTTCTCAATGGGCCATACTGCTCAGGCTGGTTCAGAGTGCGCCTTAGGTAATTCCGCTCAGTCCGGTTCCTGGCGAGATCCCAGTTTACCTCCCCAACGATGTGCGACCTACCCGGCTCCAGGGTTTGTCCCTTAAGCTCTGCCCAGCACTCTGGAACAGAGCACAACTCCTGGTCTCTGGCACGCCTTTCCAATCCGCCCTGACAGAGCGTGTTTGGTGTGCCTGGTCCCAGTCTTTGGTGTTCCGATTACCTGGTGCTCTTCCTGATGAACCACCCAAATGACGTGCACCCTGTCCTGCCTAACTCCAGGTGCAGACCAAGCAGTCCTGGGGCTTCTCCCCCTGTCTGTCCTGGTGAAACTGAGACCATCCTGGAGCTCATCGGCCACTACATCTGGACAGCGACACCCTTGCCCTTGGGTCCGTTACTTAGTTCCTCGCCTGCCCAACCCATGCAGATGGGTGGCACATTGTAACAGTTTGTCCTTGTTTTCCGTTTTAAAAAACCCAGATCAAACAGCTTTGCAGAAGATTGATATTGAACCACAGATGTTTGTTTTTTTTGGTGACAGGATGACAATTCCACTATATTTGGGTGGACGTGGAAATTTTACCATGACCGTTCTTGAAAATACTATGCTCAAACATAAGCATTAGCACATTAGCCTAACAACCTGCTGGTGAGCCAAACACAAACACCAACAGACATTAATCAATTTATAAAGTACTAAGTAGGCAGTTAGGCACATGTACACAAAAACACACAACAGTATTTTCATAGACTAACAACAAAAAAAAAACTTTAAACCTTAAATAATACTAAACACACACTGAAAGTATTAAAGCTTTCATTTAAATCACAGACTCACACAGAAATGCTCACATTAAATCAGTCACATTGAGCTATAAACATAGATTAATTAAGGATGAAAAAGCATAATAATATTGACTCACCAGATGTTCGAGGTGAGTAGACCCATGACCTAGTTAGCTTGTAATAGAATATTACAGTTTATGTCAGTCCAGGTTTTAAAATATTTTCACTTTATAGATGTAGCGAAAGACAAAACTATAGCAGGCGGCTTTACTCTTGGAAGTATTTTTTTTCCTTTCCAAAGGTAGCAGAAGAAGAAGTGGAATGAGGGAATGGGAATGAGAGAGCCTGAAAGTCACTAAGGAACAAGAACTTCGGAAAACGGCCACTGTTTAATTTGGCAAGAAGAGAGAGAGAGGGAGGTCAGTATGAGCACATTGGCGAGCTGGCTATCCTCCTATATTCACTCTGACCAGAGAAGGAGATAGGGAGATACAGAAGGAGTGGGTCAATTTAAAGACACTAGCTGTACATGACAGTATACCACTGACACAAATGCACAGACATTGACGATAAAAAAAACGACAGGCTTATTGGCTGACTGATTGGACAGTGCAATACATATTCACCGGGGTTACACATAGAGAAAATGAAAGAAGGAGGGGTATTGTGGTCAGTTACCTTCCAGTAATAATGTTATTTATCAGACGGCTTTATTTGCTCTTTAAAGTTCAAACTCCAGACTGCCTGTTAAAGATTACTCCATTAAACACACAAACACACACCACTGTCTTTCAGTTGATGGAATTCTCATTCCTAGTCCTGGGGAACCACAGTGTTTCCACCAGGGCTCTTAATCACCAGTGCTAATTGGTGCTAGAAATTGTGATCTGCTTTCTAGTTTAGACTTTGGTTCTGTGCAACGTTTAAAAAAAAAAACGAAAGTGCATAAATGTCAGCATGCAGAACTTGATATAAACTCTCCTAAACTTCTTAACTAAACATTTGCTTCCTCATTTCTGACGGACAGCTCTTAATAAGTGATCCAAAGATGAGCAGACACCGGGACAAATGAGCTTGCACACCTGAATCTGGGATCACATCAATTACAAACTTCAGAGAGTTCTTTTAAGTAAATATTTAAAAGGCTTTATAAAGAAAACCAACAGACCAAAGGATCCAAAAGGACCAGAACTGAGAACCACTAAGGTAACGGACAAATGAAAAACTGACCTAGTCTTTAAGTTTCCATACATTCCCTATTCTGCATATTATGCTTCACAAACTGGAATTTCCCCAGTGACCATTCAGTGGGGAAAAATCTCATTGTAAAGCTGCAGTCGTCCTTAAAGATGGAAAACGTAATGATCCCCTCTAAAATGTGCTGTACCGTGGTTCTCCAGGAGCAAAGGGCCTTAACCGATTCATTATAATCTAGCCATAGATTCAAACGAAATGTTCCCTTTGGTATGTATTACTTACATGTGTTTTATACGATAAAACAGATTTATTGTCTTAAAATATTCAAACGACGAACAGAAATAAAACTGTGTATATCAAGCAGCACTGAGCTATTTTGTCTTATTTGTAATTTAGAAATCCTCATTTCACACAGTGAAGTACCGCAGTGCACCACCCCCTACTGTTCTGAATGACTGCCCCTCTTACAGTAGCTATGATCTCTCTATAAGGAATATATGCCCTTTTTTTCATGGTCTAATGCCTGTTACTTATAATCAGTGAAACAAAGAAGCTGTTTGCAATTTCTCCCTTAGATCCGCATGTGTCCACGGTTTTGCCTTTCTGTGTTGCTTGAACCCTTATCTTGTACCCCTTACTTGTCAGGATAGACCTCAGCTTCTCCCGTGACCCTAAATTGGATTGGAAGTTGTTAGAAATGGATGGATGGATGTTTCTTTCCGCCTGCTGATCCGTGAAGATCAGAAATAATGATGCCATCAGATTATGCAATCAATCAATCTTCATCCTATGCATGAATGCACTGCCTGATTAATCAACTATTCATTCATTTCATAGATGTGCCAGCTTAGTGATAATTAAGACAGTAGGCCTCTATTGTGTGTAAATGGGTTCGCATGTGGCGCAGAAATTGAATAATGAGGTAACTGATAAAAGGCTGGGAGTCACACTCTCGCACTGGTTTCATTTAGACTAGGTTTGGTACTGTATATAAAGGGATTCACAGTAATGGTTGATTATTGGGTTGTGTAGACAGGTACAGTTTGTTGTACCTTAAATAACTTTTGTAAAAAGAAATTCTCCTTGAAAACTCTGTTTTTCATGTGCGCAGGCAGCTCAAGGTGATGTACAAGAACAGCCAGATCTCAAACGTGACCTGAGATCTTACTTCTGACAAGTTACCATATCCAATATGAAGTATAACCCTACAGGAGGGAAAACCAGCTGTCGGGGTAAACCGAAAAACAGGTTGGCAGTCTGGCCAGCAGCACGTCAGCCACAAGGATGAACTCTGCTCATCTTTTGTTCACTCACAGTCAACACAAAACAGAGCCACGGTCTCTTCCACACTGTGTCTGTGGACAACAGCCACCAGGAAAACAAAACTAAAAATCAACAGCTTTCTTTTCAGCAGTGGCTCCTTTTATTTTTAACCAAAAACTCCCAAAGCACTACATTTTTTCCCCCAGTTTGCTCAATAACGACTTTTCATCTTCCTATCCAGCATTTTTTCTTCATTTCCTTGCATTGGGAATTATTGTACAGCATTATTTTGTGCTTGCGCATAAAACAGGCCTCCCACGTTCACCCTGCCTCTTAATCATATATTCGTATATGGACCATGGATTTCACTTTAATAATGTATTCAAACATTTGGTTTAACCAAACATATGATCTATCCTGGCTCTATCCTGCCTACAGTGAAAGATAGTATCTGCTTTGAACTTACATTGGATTATATGGTTCATGAACTTGTTTACAAATCCTGTGCTCTTAGGTGTAATTTAGTCTTTTTCATTCTCCGCTATGCCTCTCCTCTCTTTCCATGGTCTCTCTGATCCAACCCAGGTAATTGTCCACTTTAGTGTAGTAACCCCTTTCCCTACAGTACAACCCCCAGGACACAACGCCATAGAGACGGAATGGACCCCTTTCTATCTGTCCTCCTGCTCCTCTCCGAAACTCTCGGAGGAAGAAGGGACCCCCACTGTCCCCATGGCAGCTATCTTTGCCCTTCTCACCAGCACAGAACATGTTCTCAGTGAACATCTGCTCCAGTGGTTTTCCGTCTTTGTTCTTAGAGCAGGTGTCTCTGTCCTTCACAGGGATCTCAACATACAACAGTTTCGAGCTCAGTGTGCCATGTTCTGTCCTGCCCCATCCTGAAACAAACCCCAGTCTTTCGGAAATAAGAGTCCCATCATCTTTCCTCTCGGGGAGACAGATGGGGAGAAGATGGGGTCCCAGGGGTACGCGGGATTTCAGTTTGACCAGGGCGATATCATTGTCATAATTGATATGTTTTCCACTTTTAGGGTCTTCCAGGTATCCTGGGTGGATGAAGATCTTCTGACTCTGCAGAGTTACAGCGTTCTTGGAGCTCTCTATATTCTCAATGTCCGCTGTCCCCCCGTACATCAGCAGACTGTCCTTGCCCTCAACCACATGAGCAGCTGTGAGGACCCATCGGTCAGAGATCAGAGATCCTCCTCCTTTTGGATCATTAACATAGACCTGCCAGGGGATCTGACCAGGCTCTGCCTCTCTGCCTCCAAAGATACGGCCGAAATCAGAGTGCTTGCTCTCGGGCTCTCCACACACTGTGAGAAAAGAGTACAGCAGAGAGAAGAGCAGAATTATCAGAACTACAGAATATGATCGCGACATCTCTAAGACAATGACTGACCTGTTCTCCAACGACCACAGTATATTAACACAAACCTCCACTCTAATACTACAATCTTGAAGCATATGAACAAAGCCTGTTCATCATCAGTCAGAGATACTTCTCCATAAACAATATTTTTTAGTGTATGGTTCCATATTTCAATTTCCCTGAATAATTAATAGTGCAGAATACAGGAAGTATCCCAGTGGATTAAAATGAACAGTACTGATTCCTACCTGCAACACATTTTGGCAAATCCAGACTGTCATTCAAAGACCTCCAGTAGCCCTGAGCTTCACATCTGTACACGTCTGAGACAAAAAAAAACAGGATGAATAACCCTTTATAGTTGAAGCAGAGTCAGAGCTAACATATATATTCCCATACTGATCCTACAGCAGCAACATGACAAAGGTCATTTTTTATTTAATCATCCTTATTGCACAATTTCCTCCAGCTGTGTAGGTCCTGGTGCTTTAAAGAGACCTAGAAAAGCTACAACCATGCCTGACCTACAAGGTTAGAGCCCAAGAGAGTCATCTAACACAGAAAAGCAGGTGAAGACAAATAGTTCACACCCTAGATAAACAATCAACTCAGGGTCATTGATACAAACCCTACCAGAAAAAACATTTACAATACTAAAGGTTGTACTCATCACGCTGAGAACCCAAGGAAAAAAATCACTAGGTAGCACAAATACCGTACAGTAAAGTAGACAGTCTTTTTTGCGACTAAGTTTTAACCTGATGTGAATAGGCCGCTGCTTTTTGGACTTTATCACAGATATGTGTTTTCTCAGTGCAACGCTACTAAAATCACTTTGTAACGCAAGACACATAATCTAATGTGGAAATCATTCTATTACATGATCTTTTCACTAGGACTAAATCTGAGGGGCGCACTGTGTGTGCAGCAGACAAACAGGTTACTAGTGAGTGGAAGTACAGTGGTGCACACAGACTCATACACACGCACACACAAACACTAACACACATACAGTAGCTAGTCTGACTCACCAGAGACCCCTCTCTCCAGGACGTAGTAAGGCGCGCTGCAGTGATACTGGATGACAGACTGGTACTGATTGAGAGAGCCAGAGAGAAACTGCACTCCTCCGTTTAGCAGGTTGGAAGGTGTCCCACAGTCTATTACTACACAGAGGGAAATACACAGGAGATCTCAGCAGTGCAATGAGGGAAAGACAGAGAACGCAGGTCTGGTTCAGAGGTGTGGGAAGAGGAGAAAAGGAAAGGACAGCTGACTCACTGCGACACTCAGGCAGGGGGAGGTGCCACTGTCCATCACTCTTACACATGGAGAAATATCCCCCGATCTCCTTCTCTCCCTGAGAAAGAACAGGAGTTAATACAGGCAGGTCATCACCACTGATAAAAGACATAAACACTGCATGGAGTGCACTACTCTATCTGATTAATACTACATTGAGTGCACTACTCTAGTTCATTAGCACTAGTCCAATGCACGGATTCACTATTAAAACACATTAACACTACATTGTGAGTGAGGTTTTAAAACACATTAACACTGGATTGCACTAATAAAATACTTTAACACCTGCTGATACATCAAATTGTATCAAATTGTTCTGTGTCAATGGATCACTAGGAAGAGAATCAGGAGGCATTTACTGCAGGGAATATGACTTTCTCGTTCCACTTTTACACTAATTCTGCACTTAAAGAGATGGAAAGGAAAATTTAATATAGTACAATAACTGCTACACAAAAGTACTTTAACACCAATTGACTCACAGCACACAAAGAGTAAGAGAATAAATGACACTACAGTAAATTAAGAGTTTTTGAAGCCTGTGAGACAGACTCACCATCATCAGCTTGTAGCCGGTGTCACACTTGACTCTGATGTAATCTCTGAACCGATACTCTGTGAATTGTGGGGTCACTCTGCCATGAGAGATACTTCTGGGTGATGGGCATTGCACTCCTAATAATAATAATAATAATAATAATAATAATAATAATAATAATAATAATAATACAATGTTGTTGGGCACAAGTCATACTATCTGATGTTGATGTCATATGTGCTTATTTTTGCCAACAAACAAGTCTTCATGCATTCCTCAATTGAAACATCTCTGAATGATGGGATTAGTTATTTCTTGTCACTCCTCAAACTCCAGAAGAACTGGGAAACTCTCTCAAGAAAAGATAAGAGTTGCACAGACAAGGCCATAAAACAAAGTAGACCTGGTCATTCTGAAGTCAAGAGAAGAGACCACTGCATTAGAGACAAGATCATAAATTTGGGGTCATTACTGAGCAAGGAATGCAAGAAAGGACTTTTGTTGAGCTTCAGTTTTAAGAAACTGGGCAAGAATGGTCCATATATAGGTTCTATATACCACAAATATATTGTTTTACCATTCTATTAATATTAAATGAAGAAATCACATTTTTTTATCAAAAGAAACAAGAAAGGAGGGATATCTGATCAAATGCCTATAGATATCACTTGTTTGCTCTTGAATGAAACAGCTGCTTATAATTAAACAGATGAAACGGTCAGAATTTTGATTGTAACAAGCATTACTGGAAAACGTCAGAATTTCGATAATTGATTATTGAGACCCACCCACATCGGATGAGAACCCAAGATTAGAAACCTAGTCACCCCTCTAGTGGCTAAATAAGATACTATCCCTTCCCATTGCTGAGCAAATCAGAAGCAGTAAAATAGAATCCTTAATTCTTTGAGAAAATACCTTTTAAAGTACAGGATGTGATGCCACATACATATTCCATTCTCTTACAAACGAATAAGCTCAAACTATTCGATTAAAACATCATATTAGGTACAATATTTATTTCAGGAAAGAGTGGGCTATGCTTGCTTGGTTATCAGATGAATGGGCAAAACATGAGTAGTTCAGAAATGTATCAAACCTGTGTGCATTATTTAGAAGAAAACGTGACTTTTCTCAAATACCAGACATTTCTGTGATGCCTTTTCTGAGAGAAGCAATAAAAATTCCTGAAGGAGAGATTGGGAGATCTCGGATATGAATTGTCCAACCAGAATCCTGGCGGAGGAGACTTTGGAATATTGTTTGTCTGAGCCTCAGAAACAGGGCAAACCAACAACCAGTTTGGAAGTTAGGCCCGGTAATTTAGGAAGTAAACACCCAAGGCAGCCAGTACACCACGGGGACCTCCACCCTCTCCAGCCTGCAGCCCGTCTTCATGTCTTCACACAGCTCCTCACGTTGCTCAATCCTCACAGATCAGGTGATCCTACTGCCTCGCTGTCCAGCCCATAAGCGATAGGAGCACACCAAGTTTCTCTAGTCTGCACAACTCCAAAAGAAATAGTTTGGATTGAACTTGTGCTCCGGTACAATCCATCACAGGGATACCAGAAGACATTTATCTTGATAATTAATGTGACTCCATTCCCTTTTCCTCACTTAATTGGTTACTATCTTAGCAACTTTCACTTTTCTCATTCTCTACTTTCCAACTATTTTCTAGATTCTTTCGAACCAGCGTTTTTTTGGTTGTATTATTTTTATTCCTTTTTAACTCATCTATTTTAAGAAAGGGGACCTGTCCTGATTTGAATTTATGCAGATTAACCTCACTGCTATCAGGAATTCAGGTTGCTAAGCATTGTGTTAATTGTCACGTTGACCTTGCTGTGTTTCCAGAGACCTTCACAGCTATTATAGGGTTAGTGGGGTGATTAAGACCACTACATCACAAGACTTGTTTTATATCTTCCCTTGGTGTTTCTGTAACCTCCCAGACTCGGGGTATAGGTCTTGCATTTGAAAGTGCTCACAATAGGGTCTAAGATTTAGTCACATGTGCTATTCTCGTAAAATATTTAGATGATTGGCTACAGGTTCAAGCAACCCTCCAAACCTATCTGCGCCACAATGAGATATAACTTGCCTATAAATTTGTCTTTGGCATCACCACACAATATATTCACACAAACAATAGTTCTAAGCACACAGCAATACAGATACACACATTTTGCTCTGCCCAAATTACACTATCATTTTGCATGTTCCAATAGCTCCATGCAGGAAACAGTCACTTAGCTGCATTTAATATCTTGACTGCACAGGGACCAAAGGAGTTCTTCTACACATTTTTTGGGGGTCACAGACATGATAATCACCTCTCTGAAGGTAGCAGCTGGAAACAGGAATGAAGAGGGTGGGAGAGGTCTTCAACGATAAGCTGAGCTTGTGTTTGAACTGCAGTCTAATAGAGCTCTATACAGCTGGTTCTCCGGTCAACCAAGCATTGTACTAGAAATGTTCACAATTCTAGATGACTTCCTTTTACTCTTCATACTCAAGCTACCCTACCACACAGTGATACCACAGTTAGCTTTCTGCTAACATTATATAAACCCTCTCAAAAAAAAACTCACCCCAAAACCTTTTAGCTTCCTGATCAAAAATGTAGACTGACTAGCCTTCTTAAAAATGCAATCATTTCTCCAAAAGAACAACAAAGGACGTGGCACCCTTCACCTTGAGTCCTGCTAGAGAACGCAACACCTGTTTTTTTATTGAGGAAAGTCCCCCCTTTAATCTCCCACACTATCGAAAAGGTATGTATAGTATTTTTGTCTTTTCATAAAAAAAATATTTGTACAAATCTATTGTAGATTGTGCATGATTGCTTTACCAGTGTTGCTAAATAGATTAGGAGTCTACAGTCAACAAGGGGGCACTGTGGAAACAGGCCAGCTGCAGCCAGTGATTTTCTAAGCTTTAAATTGAGTCCAAGTGCAGTTTTCATACTGTAAGAGTAGCTGCAACAAGCAAACAAATAAACATATTTACACAACTATTGACAAACACTGTTTTAGATGTTTTTTCATCCTGTGTTTTCTGGTCTGCTGCTGTGATACTATGAATATAGAAGGTGTCACGGCCCTAGATTGGCAGTGTTTGTTCATTTTTTCTCTTTTATTTTTTCTTTTCCCTTTCTCTCTTTCTCTCCATAAGATATCACAGTGGGGCCCCCCTTTCATTAAGATCGGTGTTTCCATATATCATTTGGGAATCTTCCTTGAATGTGGGGCAGAGCAGGTATCCAGCACAGCCCTGCTCTCCATGCCCGCGACAGGACAGTGTGTGAGTTTCTGTTTCAGCGTGTCAGAGCGAGCTGCACTTCACTCACGCTCTGTGGTGTACTCCAGCCTCCAGCCCCGGCTGTCTCCTCTCTGGTCGGTGTGATATTCCAGCCGCACCTCGTTAGAGGAGCTCACGATCGGCGCCGGAGCTTCGCTTCCGCACAGGAGAAGATCGGCGTGACCCGGGATCGACACCTAGAGACACATGCACAGAGGGTGTGGAGATAACTGGGGGAGACTTCAAAATGACCTAGTTAATTTACTTAAGGATCATTTGACAGGAAATCTGCAGTTAAAGAATGGTGTGAATTGAGGCTTGACTTGTCATAGACATTGATGGGAATTTGGTGATGTTGGTGCAGGATGGCTACAGCAGGGATTAGTGGGTGATCTGACAACTTAGTTTTCTTTCATCATCACCACCACAAGAGTTTAGGTGGTGAGCTTAACTGACCTGTATTAAATGCCCAAAACAGTATGATGGGGAGTTTTAATTTACTGTAATATTCAGAATCTGTGACGGTAAATTGAGAGCCTATTTGGTAATTTTTCTGAACCAATCAAATATAATGATTTACAGTCTTACTACTGAATTTTAAATATACAATATGCAAGTGATTGATACAACACTGAAAACATGCATAACAAACAACAGCAAAATAATATATTTAAATCAATCTGCTGTGATACAAAAGGCTGATCGATCACTCAGGGAGTATCGGATCAGACTGATCAGACTTAACTTCAAGTTCAACTACGCATTGACACTATAATGTGTCATGGTGTACCTCGTAGGTTTTATCTCATATAATTGTTAAATTTGTTCATAGATACAAGTGAATCTGCATTAACTATCACAAAACAAACATCAGACGGGTTTGGAATAATAGTTAAATTCTCAAGACTTTTAATGTTTGTCAGAAAAGAAGTTTGTTAATCAAAGATCCATTAGCCATAGGTCATTGAGGAGCTGAACTTTCAGTTGGCAAAACGGAGCTTGGTTGGACTGGTCCAAGCTGGTCTGTGCTTGCCAGTTTCTCACTCTATGCTAGGAATATCCCAAGAGAGCAGAGTGCACCGTAGTTTGTCTTG